CCTGGCAGTTTGGGAGCTGCTGGCACGGGGAGCCAGCTCAGGACAGGTGGGACCAGTCCATGCTCTTCATGCCCAGGACAAGCTGTGCCAATTCCTTAAATACCTTGAGTCCTGAATGTGTTTAATCTTTAAAGATGGCATGCTGGCGTTGCTGCAGAGCAGGGGGAAGGCAGGGGGACAGTGCCATGTTAATCCATCTGCTGGGCTGTTTCACACCAGCACAGTGTGTGGCTGTGGACACCAGGGCACTGCAAAAAGCCAGGGGCTGCTGAGGCTGTCTGCTGGGACAATTTGGGAGCTGCTCCTATTTATTTAGTGATGTATGGCAGGTCCAGGGCCTTAAGGCACCCTTGGGGCAGGGCTGCTGCTATTCCATCCTCTCCCAAGGCGCTGCCATTAGCTCTTGCCAAGTGCTCAACACATCATTTCTGGTTTCCTGTTTCAACTTTGTGTTCTTACTCCCCATGTGGGACCTATTTCAGAGACCTAATGCAAGAAATGAGAGAAATATATTTCTCCCAAGAAGTGTCTCAGGGAGGGAGCACGGCAGGGGAAGGGCTCCTGGTGGTGTTGGCAGCTGCATGAAAAAACCTTTCAGTAGCTCCTTGGCACACACAGAGCTCAGGCCAGGGCTGCTGGCAGCACAGGGCTCACTGTTCACTGTGCTGCTCCTTGGTGCTGCTCTAAATTGTGCCTGACAGCAGGGATAACCAAACTGGACTGAAATAATCAGCTGCTGCTCCAAGGAAGGCTGACAATGAAGCCTAATGAGTCAAATGGAAGCTGAGCTGAGCCTTACAGTGCTTTAGTCCATTACTGCTTAAGGATGAGGATTACCTGACAGATGCCAGGATGGTGTCTGTGGCTTTACACAAGCACTTAGAGACACCATTGTCCTTGGAAAACTTAATTTCAGCCTGGCTGTGAGGGCTGCACTGTGGGTTAGAGCTGGCAGGGTCTCTCTTTGTGCTGCCCTGCAGCCTGAGCCCACTCTTTATTTTCCTCAGGGGAGTTTTCCACTGATCTTTGCTAAGGGTGGGAATTAGGGTCGATTCTGTTGAGTTCCTTCTTGGCTTCTTGAAGGCAGCTGTTTTTAATCACATGCAGGTGATGTATTCCATCAGTAAAATCCATCTCTAACTAGAAATCAGTCCTTAATATGCAGCATATGCCTCTTGTCCTTCCTTTGATCAGCTGCTGTAGCAGAAGGCTACAGTAAGGTCTCCTCAGCTGTTCTTCCCAGAACAGACTTCCCAGATGGGGCAGAAGGCTCTGGCAGTGTCCCCTGCCCAGCCTGGCTGGTGGCTGCTGTTTGTGGAGCAGCTTGGCTGGCCCGTGGCAGCAAGAGGAGCTGCAGCATCCCTGTCCCAATGTCACCTCCTCCACCACACAGCAGCAGGGAGGGATGGAGCCATCCCATGGTCGCACTGTGGGATCGAGTGTGCTGTCACACCCCCTGAGCTCTGCAGCAGCCAGCAGAGCCTCCACACCCTCTTATGTAACAGAGGATTAATGAGAACTTGCAGTCAGATGCTGAATTTCTCATGGAACTAAACCACTTGACTTTAGCAAGCGAAACAGCTTCTGCAAGGGTGGGTGCTGCTGTTGGAGGGGCTTTAATGACTGCACTTCTGGTGTCAGCATCCTGATATCCCAAGAGCAGTCCTGATGCTGCAGAAAGAGAATCCAGGTTTATCTGATTAATTGCAGGGCTGGGCCAGGCAGTGAATCAGTTTGCCAGGTAGATTGATGGTGCTGCAGGTTAGGTTTGAAAACAGAAATATTGCTGGCACATCTTGTTTGTTCTTTGATCAATTCACTGAACTTGCATATTGCTGTGTTTAACAGTTTGTGCTTCTTTTTTTCTCATATTCCTGGGCTACTTCAACTCTTCCAGGTGCTCTTTTTTTTTTAACCCTCATTGCACATCTGAAATGTTTTCATTTAGTTTTGGTCTCTTTATGCCTTTATTCACTTTTATTCCTGGCAAAATCCTGCTGTCCTCACAGAACAAGCTGTGTGTTGTTTTCTGTCCCTAGGTTACTGCCAGGGCAACGGCTTCCGTGTGGGGTTTGGCCAGTGCTCAGGAAAAATCCTTCCAGCCCTGTCAAATCCATGAGGATGGAGTAATGTGACAAGGAGGAACCCTCCTCCCACCTCTACCAGTCATTCTGCTTTATTCAAGTTTATTGTTTTTATATGAGTGATTGGAATCTTACTTTTTTAAAATTATCAATAAATATCTTACAGGTGCATGTGGCTCTCTGGTGTGATTAGAAAAGGATTTCAACGCTAGCTTAAAATTCTCAGAATATGAATAAGATGATTGAAATGGAAAGCAAGATTCTTAACTCTTCTACAATATTAATGGGGTTTTTTGTAATTATAAAAAGAGGCTTTCAAGTAAGCTTAAATATTCAGAGTACTAGGCTGATGATAAGAGCTGAGATTCCATGCTGACTTCTTTCTGCCACAGTGTTAATATGCTGGAGGGGAAATCCTGAAGGCGAGTTGCATATAGATGTTAAAACTTGTAGACCTTCCTGAGCAAGACTTACACGACTGTGCCCTAAAATAATTTGCAACAAAGCAATTTGGAAATGTGATAATCAACACAAGTGAAGGCAAGAGGCAGGATGTCCCTGCTCCTCCTGCCCTTACACAACCAGAGGCAGCTCTCCTGCCCCAGAAAGAGATGGATTCCAGCCCAGAGATGGGAGACTGTGTTGGGGAACCCCTCAGAAGGTCACCCCTCAAAACATCACCCTTGTGCCTCCTTCCCTGATTTAGAGAAGGGAATTCCCTGTTTTTCTCTCACCCTGTGCACCAGCATCCCTGGGGTCAAGGAGGGAAGGGGAATTTCATCACTGGAGTGATCCCCAGGCACTCACTGGTGGCAGTCACACCCTGCCACCCAACAGGGGCTACGGACAGAGGACACCAAGCAGCCCAGCCCCCTTCCTGCTCCCCAAAACCGCATCTCCTGCTACAGCATCCCCTTGCAGCAGCCAGTAAACAAAGCCTCGTGGCACTTTCCTCAAGTGTAAAGGGCATCTGCTGTCTCCTGCTGGCCTACAAATCAATTTAACTCCATGGCCAAGTGCCAAATCACATCAATTAGAGGATATTACTGACTGAAGGAGCTCGGGAGACCGGATAATGAACTGTGGTGTAGTGCAAGGGGAACTTGTTAAATATTTGTTTGGTCCTCAAAGTGGAGAACCTGATGAGGCTGCTGGCTCCATGTGGTCCCAGCAGGATGAGCCCATGCTGCTGCTTTTCCAGGCTGTCCCACTGCTGCCCAAAAACTCTACCAGGTAGTTTTGCTGGTGTGGGCTGTGAGGGCATTTGATGTCATCCTGGGGAGCACCTGGGGCTGACCAGGAATGTCAACTTTATGGCCATGCAGAAAAGGAAAATGAATTTGAAATGAAAATTAAAGAAAAAACATGGCAGTGCATATAAATCACTGCTAACAGGGCATGTGCATCGTAATGTGCTCTCTTCTAGTGTGCAGCAATAACAGTTCTTTAAAGAATGATGCTTGGAGGTTCATCCCCAAATCAAGAATGACCTGGCTAGGAAAATACTGGCTCATTGTTGTTTATCAAGGAAAAGCTATTTTGCCTTCAGGCTCTTGGAGCTGAACTAATAGGCAGATATTTATTTAATGTACTCTGACTGGATCATCAATTTATAGGTACTTTATGCTCTCTTTTAACCTCAAAGGACAATTGTGAGTTGACACCTTCCCACTTGGATTTAGAAATAACCCATCCTGCTCCTCTGAGCACAGCTTAGCTTTGCTCCTGGCAGCAGCAGGAGGACACACAAAGCATTTATCCAGGAGAGAAATTTCTCTGCAGAAGCAACATCCGTGGTGCACTTTGGCAGATCTGATGTTCTGGAAGTGCAATATCTGAGGAGAGAGACAGAGAGCTGATGTTGGGGCAGTATGTCATTGGTCATCAGCTGTGACCTTGATGCAAGGCACTGCACAGCCAAGAAGCACTGAGGTGTCAAGGCTTTCTGGGTGCAGGAATACTTTGGGGAGCTGTGAACCCATAGTGCTCTCCCTGAACTCTGAGCAAGGTAAAGGTGAGTCCTGTACACACCCAATGAATTCCTCTTCCAAAGAGCTGACTGGATGCTGCAATTCCTGCCAGCAAGTGGGAATTGGGCTTGTTGCCTGCTCAGGCAGAAGGTCAATGGTACTGAGACCCCAAATCTGGCCAGGATGGAGGCACCCAGCCACACACCCTTCCAAACTGGCTCACAGAGCCAGCCTGCCATGCCCAGCCCAGGGAGGAGGGTGGATTTGCAGTGGCCACTCTGGACATCCCTGGCCAAGCCCCCCTGCACCATTCTGGGGATGGGAAGGAGGAGGGAAGGGCCCCCTGTGGCCCCAAGGTGACTGAGCTGAGCTTCTCTAGCCTGGGGACATCTGGAGAAGTTCCAGATTCCAGAAGGTGGGTAATTTCTGGAAAGGACCTCAGGCACAGCAGGTTTCAAGGGTGAGCTGGACAAAATCCAAAACCTTTCTCAGGACAGAGCTCAGAGTCATCTGCTGCCTGCTACATGGATGGGGGCCAGAATGCCAGAGATGGTAAAAAAGGAGACAAGCTTTTCTGTGTGCCCAGAAGAAGGCAGTGGGCTCTCCTTGGGTGGAGAAGGGAGCCCACGGCCACACTGCCCTCACCCAACACAGTGAGCCCAGAGCCACCAGCATTGCTGATCCTCCTCCCTTGCCCTGTGCCAAGGGGAGAGTGAAGGGCACATCTGTGCTGCAATGTGCAGGGCTGCCCACAAAATAGCTTTGGCCTGGGACCAGCAGCACCCACTGCCTGGGGGGAAAGCAGCCTCTGACCCAAATTTTGGGAAACACACAGGTGTTAAGGGCACCTCCCACTTGCTCCACCTCCCCTAGGGCAGCTGGGGCCAGTTTGCACCCTTGTCCTTTAAAATGAAGGTCGTGGAGCTTTCTTCTGGTTTTGGGGGAAGCTGAACACAGGTGAAAAGATCAGGCTCTTGGAACAAGAAGGGGCTTCAGCCTGGGTGCTCTCAGTTCAACAGGCTGACTGGCTGCTTGGAAGAAGTTTATCTTTGAAATGCCAGTTTCAATAGGGTTGATTTCCTCTACAAAGAGATTCCCATGCACTTCTCAAGATTTTGTTTCAGTTAAGGTTGGGCATGACTGTCTCTGCTTCCAGAGATTACTAAATTTCATTTGATTTAGGTGTATTTTTCTTAGTTTGCTTATAATCTGGCTTTGAACTGAAGTGGAAAAAAACTCACAAACAAACACAAAGTTCCTTTTTCACTGCCCTGTCACAGCACCAGGTTTGTGGGTTTGTAACCTGTGTGTAGAACAAGAAAATCCTTCTTGGATCTTTAGAAGCCTGGAGGAAAAAAATAAAACCTTTCTTCTGTGTCAACCACCTGAGAGGCCTCGTTCAGGGTCATGAACATTGTGTGGGGAGACAGACCCTGTGCTCATGAGCAGAGGAAATGGAAATGCATGTCTGAGTGAAAACCACAGCTCTGGTGTGGACCCTGGAGCATCCTTCTCCTGCCTGGTGTTTCCCACTCAGCAGAGCTCAGCAGATCCCAGCAGCAATCCGTGCTGGAGCACAGTGATCCCAGGGGTGAGTGGTGCTGGGGTCTTGGAGGGGGGCAGCTGCTTCTGGGCTGGCACAGTGGCAATAAATTATCCTGCCTGAGATTATTCTACCTGATTTTGTTATTTTGAGGTAGCAGTACTAAAGGCAGCTACTATTTAGTACTTTAAGATGCATTTTCTTACAGTTCAAAGCGTCTGGTTGGTGCATAATGAAAAAGCTGGGTGTAATTTATAATAGTCCTTTTGGTATAATTAAGTGTCAAAAAACAAAACAAAAAAAAGCATGGAATAAACCCCTAAAATATGTTTCAGAATTTAAAGGAACCAATGGCTTTTTGCTGTGAAATGCAGGCACTCTTCACCAGAAGTAGTTTTCTGCAGAGATTTTAATTAGAAACGGATGCGATATCTTGGGAAAAAAATTAGTTTTGATGTAAGTGTTTGGGTCAGCAATATTCATAATTCTTTCTTTACCCAGGCAGTAATAACTCAAAGTAAAACACTCTCTCAGTAGCTGTTCAGGGTCAAGGTAGTGACTTTGTGAAGAGGGACAGAGCTGGTGGGTGATATTCAGGTGGCTTTTGGCATCAAGAAGTGAGGCAGGAGACCATTTCTCAGGTTTGATTGCTGCTTCTGTTCAGAATGCCCACACAGTTGCTGCTTAGTGAGAAAGAAGGAGATCATTTCTGGGATTTTAAAATTGATTGAAGGCTTTGGAAGTACGTGAGGGACATGCTGAGGCACTGGCACCATGCTGCTCCATACAAATCTGCTGTGAGCTGTTCCTCCTTCTCATCTTCCCTCATTCCCAAGAACCTCTTCACCTCAACTCTTTCTGTGCTGCACAGGTGCTTGGTTTTCCATGAAGTTTTAACTACAGACCTGTGCTTTCTGATTTAACTCTGCTCCACAAGCAGCTGAGGCAGGGCTGGTGTTAACACAGTTATTGAACACCCAAGGGGAATGGGGCAGGAGCAGGAATCCCTGGTGGCAGCTGGGCATCCCTGGGGTCACCTGGAGGATCAACACCTTGGTCCATGAGTACTGAGGGGCTGGCTGGGAGCTGCAAGCACAGGGAGGGTTTCTTGTCCTGCTCCTCTCTGTGCCCTGATCCAGGGCAGAGGTGCTCAGGGCTCAGCAGGGGCAGCCAGCACCCCCAGTGCCCTGCAGAGCATGGGCTGCCCTGACCCGGGACCCTGCCTGGGGGGCTCTGGGATCTGCTGCAGGGCTGAAGGGTGCCCAGCTCTGCTGCCTGCCCACCCCTACCAGGTATTTCCTTTGATCTGCAGCTGCTGGAGAAATCCAATCAATCTTAAATATAAAATAAGTTTTGAGAAACTTTGCACTCCTTATGGCTTTGGCACACTTAATGCAATTTTAATACATTTTTGATTTCTGATTTGCCTGTGTGGGCTGCCTGGCTAGGTTCCAGTATGAAACATGGAGCTCTGTAACTAAGAACTCTGTCACTCAATGTTTCTTAACACCACTGTGAATTGAATTATATATGATGACTTAAATTCAATCAGGATTTTCCAATTGTTTATTGCTGTAAAGATGTGTGTGAGCAGAGTTTTCCTCCGGGTTAGCAAGGTTTTTATTTTTAATGACTTTTAATGAAAATGGTTTTAAAAATAATTTAAAATGTGAAGGAGATGGGTGAAGTCTGAGCATTTCTCCATCCTAGTCCTGTGTTGGATTCTGGGCTGAAGCTGCCTGCTGAGACTGTAATGACCCAGCAAGCTGGGGACACCTTTGGCCAGAACAGGCTGCAGCAGCATCACTCCTGTGAGTCTCTGGCTTGCCATCAGTCCCTGTTTCTTTCCAAAAAACATTTCCAGGGTGTCTGCTCAAATTCAGCTGCTGCTGGCCTCAGTTCAGGTCTGCTCTTACCTTAGCCAGAGTAGCTGTACTGAAAACAGTGTAAAGACTCCAGCCCCTGCTTCTGACTAGGAGAGAAGTAATGATTTATCAGCAGGGTTTAGTCTTTGTGGCAAACTGGGTTCCAGGCACAAAGATCCTTCTGCCAGAGGACTTGCTGCAGGGACAAGCAGATCTATAAAGCACCCAGCTTTCAGGCAAGAGAGCCCTTTTTCAAGATGAAAGAATTAGCAATTCATCTCTTCATCTTTTTCAAGAGGGGGAGTTCCCTACGTGCTTTTTGCCCTGCATATCCCATACCCTGGAGCTTCTTCAAAGAGATCCCCACAGATGCTCCATGCTCTTCATTTTCAGTTGCTGGCAGGAGGGATTCTGGTCTCAGTGGCCCTACTTCTTTTGGTATGCAATTTGTTACTGATAATGAATTGCTGAAATACAGATGCTGCAGTCCCCCACTGAGCTGGAGCTCAGCTGAGTGCTCTTCCTGGCCAAGGGAGTCACCTGAAATAGCCCCTTTGGAAAGACTGACCTTCTGCAGAGCCACAGGGACACCTGGGGCTCCCTCAGCTCTGTCCTGAGCTCCAAAAATCTGTAGTGGTGCAGCTACCCAGGGAGTTGTTCTCTGTTCTCACTCTCCAAGGAGAGCTGTCATGAATGTATGCTCTTCTAGTAAATCATATTGTGTTGTGAGTATCTTTAAAGATGTCCTGGCAACTGTAAGAAAACCACAACACAGACAGCGAGGAGGTTTTCCATGTCGAAGCTATTTATTATGTTAGATAAATACACTTGCAACAAGTCTGACTTATATCCTCTGAGTGCAGTTGCTGGTAGTATGGCACAATGATTACAAAAGAACCAAAACTAGCAGAGGCACTTGCTGCATGCAGCTGAAATTACTACCAAGCCCAGTGATGCAGCTCCTGCTGGCAGAGCCTTCCCTGTGAGCAGGATTTGCCAGCTGGAGCTGCAGTGGGGTGGGAGAGTCCTGGCTCCCAGGGGAAGGAGCACAAAGTGTCTGGCTTAGGCAGGATGTCCAGTATTGCTTTTGGTTACAGAGGAGTGAGGTTGTGTGATTGTAACCAGTGGGGAAAGGCAGAAATTAGAATGAATCATAGAATATGCTGAGTTGGGAGGGACCCATCAGGATTATCAAGTCCAACTCCTGGCCTGGCACAGGACAGCCCAAGAATGCCACCACGTGCCTGAGAGTGCTGTCCAAAGGTTCCTTGAACTCAGGCTAGAGTCCTGTCACTGGTCACAAGAGTGAAGAGAGCAATAGATTTACATTTTCTCTATAAAAACAATCTCGTTGACTTTAATGCAGCCATGTATGTGAATATCCAGATTTTTATAAAGGCATTTTTTGTCAACAGAAGAATGGACTTGACAGGCTATGGCAGGAGGACAAGTGCCTTTTTATTAGAAAACAGAGCTATCCAGAGGGGTCTTTTCATTAGGATTTTCAGGAAAATCCGTTAAATGGTTTGTTCAGCTGGACAAGGAGACAAAAAAGTGGCAACCATCCTTGCAAAGCAAATTTCTCAATTTGCTTCCTCAGCATTTGCAGCCCTTCATTCTCAGACAGGCTTTGTTCCTGCAGGGACTGTGTGCTGCTGTCCCTGCCCTGCCAGAGGCATTCCACAGGACTGACCCTGGTCTCTGTAGTTGGGCAGCCTGCTCACAGGCTTGAAATTAAGCACCTCAATAAGTCCTTAGCTGAACTGGGGCTTATCAGTAACATGTGACAATGCTGAAGAGTCCTGCATGCAGATAAACACCAAGTGGAGTACTGGCACTGAGAGGTGTGAGGACAAGCTCTGTCCTTGCTCTGCATCAGCTGTGAACTCAGCCAGGTGACTGCAAACTGAAAGTGTCCCTAGCTTGGACATCATTTTGTTATTTTGCTTATTTTGTAAATAACCCCACTAGACGGATACAAGATTTAACGACAAAAAGCAGGTTCCAAACTTTAGCCCAGGGAACAGAAGTGTTGTTCTTTGAGCTAGGAAATCCATTCTTCTGGTACAGATAGACCTGGCCATGAATAAGAGAAAACAGTGGGTTTGCTCCAAGTGTGATGAACATTTAACATTCAAGCCTGAAAAAGTGCTCTGTTACTGGTGATTACCTGGCTAGCAGAAGCTGAGGCTAAATAAACAGCCTGAGGAGCAATCTGCAGTGGGTAATGGAAGCAGTGGAGGTCTCTTGCTAGAGAACAGCAGGAGGAAAGCAAATCTTCGAATTTCCTGCCTCAGGAATGGGATCTCCTACAACGGAGATCAGCAAATATTGTGTGGTTCAAAAGATCCATGCAAAAGTCTCCATATGCCTCATAGCCTGCTGCTTTGGGATCTCTGTATCTGTGGTGTTGAGCACCTTACATCCTCAGAAATCAGTGGGGTATGTAAAAAAGCCAGGTGCCATTTGGGTTGGCTCAAAATACTGCAGTGGGAGAGTACATGGAGGTCTGGACAAGTCCTCTGCCTGGGGAGAACATCCCTGCAGTACAATGAGATCCAGACCTCCTCTACTGGTTTTAGCAGGAAGAGTTGTAAGTAAGAACCTCATTTCTGTGTCCCTATCTAAGGCTCTCCAGGTGCTTTCTGGTATTATTAGATAGACAAAATGGGGTGTGACAAGATGAAATTGTTACACCTCTTTCATTGATGAGTAGACTGAGGCACATAAAAATTGACTTGTGTGATCATCAAACAAACCTGTCAGAGCTAGAGCAGTGCCTTGCAAAGTCTGTGTCTCAATTTTCTTGTCACAGCCTTTGCTTCCACTTTTCTCACCCACTGTGCATTATCTCATGGCAAGAGCCTGGGGGTCAGGTAGGGTGGTGAGGAGGAGAAATGGAGAAATGTCCTTCTTGAAGTTTTGTGCTTTCAAGCCTTGTCTGTTCATGGTGCTTGCTGTGGTTGCAGTACCTGCTCTGAATTGCTTCCTTTCAATCCCACAAATTGAACATGTAGCCATGAAAGAAAAGGCAGGCATGAGCAAACCTTAGAATCTGAGGAATAGAGAACTTTGGAATGCTGCAGTCCCCCCTCTTCAAAGGCAAATAATAAATTTCCAGCACTCCCATGTTCACTTATGCCTTCTTGCATAATGTCTTAATGAACTGAGAGAAGGAAATGT